GTGCGCCGCTTGGGAAGCGCGGCGGCACTCCCGCCCGAGGGTTCGGATCCCACGTACAGACCGGTTAGCTCACTGGCTGAGCGTGGTGCTGACAACACCAAGTCAAGGGTTAAGATCCCCTTACTGGTCATCTTTAAAAAAAAAAAAATTTCCTAGAATCTGCACAAAGGTCTATGAAGACAGAACATCTCTAGGGCATTTACTCAAAATCGCCACAAAAGTTGACCCTTCCTACCTTAGCTAGCTTTTCTTGCAGTCTCATCAACCTATGATACCCACAAAGCACATGAAGAGGACATGTGTTTACATATGTGCATAGATATGAAACTCGCTGAACGTGATTAAAAGGTGAATTTGGAGTTCACCTGTGTTTGTCTAGTGTCTTGAAACTGTGTGCAAAGTAAACCATTTCCTGTGACAACTGCACAGACACCTCTCAGCATTCCTCTATTCAGCTCTCCCTGACACTTTCAAGACCTTAATGGTCTTTCTCAATACTCTCTGTTGCTCAAGTTAGGAGACCAGATGCCACCCACACTCTCTGAAAAGATTTTGAGAAAGCCCAGTGGTCAGATTCTAAATCAGGGAGTAGAACCTTACCTAGAGAGCTCAAATTCCCATGAGTCTCCAGTATCTCACTCTTGGCCAGAGTCCCTGGTAATGAGTAGCTGCCAAGGAATGAAGCAGCAGGTGCCTCCTGAGTTGCTTTCAGGACTACTGCCATGTCCCAGAACATGTTCTGACCCTAGAGATAAGCAGACACAGGTAGGTTTATGAGGGAATTGATGGTTGGGGTGGGGTAATTATAGCTCTGAACATAGCTATCTATTACTGGAGGCCACAAAGCATTTTTTAAAAAGTGGAAAAGGAAGCCAGAGTCTCCCCCAACCCCCAAGGTGAATTGGGCAGAGAAGCAAGACTGCCACCTTACCTTCTTCCCTATCACTTTGATTTCACCTCATTGCTCACTCCAGCATCCAAACCTAACTTGCCAGTGAGTACATGGCAACAGAAGAGAGCACATGCATGGAGATTTTCAGAGTAGACTTTTCTGGGGTCTAAAGATCAAAGAAGCAAGGTTCTGATCATCTTATTACAGAAAGACTCTGGGGACCCTCTGCCCTCAGATGGCTAGTAATGGTAAGGGGTGTGTTTGAAAACATTAAGGACACAGCCTGATGCATAGCCTCACTACTTAAAGTTTGGTCTGCAGATCAGTAGTATCTGTATCACCTAAGAGCTTGTGAGAAATGCAGAATCTCAAATCATACCCCAGACCTACTAACCGGAATCAGCATTTTAACAAGACACACAGGTGATTCCTCTACACATTAAAGTTTGAGAAGCACTGGTTAAGAGTTGTCAAACTCTGACTGGAATCACCTGAAGAGTTTTTAAAACTACAGATACCCAGATCCCACCCCCGATTCTGATTTAATTGGAATAGAATACGTCATGGACATGAAGAGTTTATAAAAAGTTCTGCAGGTTCTGTGTAGCAAATGTCCCAGCCATCAAAAGGGAACATTTCTATCTTATCTAAAAGACTATAGGCCAGAGTCCTAGCCAGGAAACAAGACTCCAGGTGTAGAAGCAGAGGGGCAGAGTCCCCTCTGAAACTATTTCAGGCCTTCAGGTCTCTTCTCCCTCATTCCTCTAAGGTCACCCACCATTTACCTTTTCCTCCTCTTCTGATACATCAAGGCCTGTCTGAGGACCCTCTCCCGGTGCCCAGACTTTGATGTTCTCAGAGTACACTTGTTGGCTGGGTGCCTGACCTAGGAAATTTTCCTCCTCTTCCTCCTCCTTTTTCACCTTCACTGAGCCCCAAGGAGCTAGGGCCATCGCCTCTCTCAATTCAGCAGTCATCTTCTCTGCTCAGCAGGGGAATTACTGTAGCTGGGGGCTGCCCAGCAGAGGTCAAGCCCCATCTAATCTTTAAATTTCAAAATCTTCTTCTTGAGTTTCTTTCCAGAGCCAAGATGAGTATCGTCTACTGAGAAACCAGAAAATATTGTTAGCACTGAGCAGAGATTTGCCTGGATGCCACTTAGCCCACTGGCCCAGTTCACCAGTGCCTAGCCAGCAGAATGCAGTACTGCTCCCTCAAAGAATGGAAGGGGTTGGACTGCAAATATGTAATTTGTTCTCATAATAATCACATTGCAAACAGCTTTATATAACATTTAGTGATTTTTTTTCTGAATAAAAGTTAACATATTTTTATTGTGAAATCTTGGAAAATACAGAAAATGATTAAGAAAAATCACCCCTAGTCTATCTCCAAAGAGATAACCACTATACGTTATAGAATTTAAGATATTTCTTTTAAGGGGAAACCTCCAACCATACTAACAATTTTTATGAACTTTTGTTTTGGACTATGGGGTTACATATTTTCGCAATTATCATCACAGTGTTTTTTAAAAAGGGATATTAAAACACAAGAATTTGTTTATTGCCAAGGATACAAAATAGTGTGAACAAAAGAATCACAAGAATAAGACTGGGAATCTATATATTAACATGTTAGGAGTGGGTGTTTATACAAGGGTACTTCAAAAAATTCATGAATGGATCCATATTATCTTTGAATTCCATTTTTCCACAAACTTTTTGAACTACCCTCATATCTGGGTGGTGTAATTACAGATAGTTTTGAGGATCTGTTTGATTTTTTATTTTTTACATTTTCCATATCTTCCAAATGTCCTGTGAAACTAAATACTACTTTTGACATTAAAAAAAAGATTTTCACATTGCCATTCTTCCTGCTTATTTTTAATTGCTACATAATAACCTATGTTGTTGTTAAATTTTCACTCTCACTGGGAAAGGATCAAGTAAAACAGAAACATACAGAATTAAATACATGTCCTACACACAAATGCACACACACACACACAGAGTAATTAGTTATCAGTGTAGGTGGGACTCCTAGTCCCTTTTCTCTGCATTTACATACATATACATACACCTTCACACATACTACTTATTTTGCAAAAACATACTTTGGATCACACATGTACACTTGTTCAGCAATATGCATTGTTTTTTGAACTCAATTTCCATATTTCACAATAGTCTTAGTCATCTTTCAATACAGTACATATAGAGCTATTTCATTCTAACATGGTATCTAAATTATGGCTATGCTATAATTTACTTAACCATACCCCATTTTGAGCCATTCCTTTAGTAAAAGGAGTTTTTACTGATTCTAGTTTATTTTCTTATTGTTTAAAATTTTTTCTGTGCAAATAGTTTTTTCTTCTGCTGAATTATTCCTTTAGAATAAAGAGGGATTGCTGGTTCAAGAATTTTATGGTTGATATGTATTATCAAATTGCTTTCCAAAAGCACCACACCAAGTCACACCAACACTAATTAACAGTACCCTTCTATCATAGCTAAGCCAGCAGGGTTTTTTGATTGCTCGTTTGTGAATAAAATAATCTTACTATTTTAGTTGTTTATGGAGCCTGAAAATTTCCTTTCTGTTCCCCTTTGAATGTTTTATTAGAAAAAGGTGCTAACTTTTCAGGGCCGGCCCGTGGCTCACTTGGGAGAGCGTGTTGCTGACAACACCAAGTCAAGGGTTAAGATCCCCTTATTGGTCATCTTTAAAAAAAGAAAGAAAGAAAGAAAAAGGTGTTAACTTTTAAATCTCCTTTAGCAGCTATTGAAGTGATCATATTTTTTCCCCTATGTTAACCTACTGGCAACTTACTGTATACGTTGTATTTCTTGGGTAATGCAAAACGTTCATTCCAATGACAAATCTTAATTCTGGAGGATTATTCACTCCAAGACTAGCTTAATTCTACCTGGTTAAAAAAAAAAAAAACCTTAAAACTAGTTCCTCCTTTTGTATAAGCCAGATTATCTACTGTGAGTACTGTCATCACTTCTGATCAAATTCAAATGGACCTCCAGCCCCAGACTAAACAGAGACATTTATCAAAGGCTTCCCTCTCCATGTCCTTTCCCTATATCCAAACGTGGCAATCCATCCCCTCCAGCTACAGGTCCCTCACGGCCCTGTTCCCGGGATCTGCCTGGCCCCTGGCAGTCGGCGTCCATTCTCTCCCGTGCCAGGTGATGGGGCACGAAGCTACCCCGGGACAAACAGGGATGGGGTCGCTGAGAGAAGGACGCAGTGGGCCACGCCTCAGGCCGCCGCCCCTACGATGTCCCCTTCTCCCCCCCGACGTTCGTGCCCACTCCCGCCAACCCCGCTCACCAAGCGTAGCGGAGAGGCCCGGCCCGAGCCCAGTGGCTCTGGAGCAAAACGCTGACGGACCAAGATCTCGGATCCTGCCGGCTAGAGAACAATGACCGGACAGGAAGTGCCTTGGGATGGGCTTCCGGCTCTCCAAGTCGCCAGGCCGGCCTCTCTAGGAATGTCGGAGGTGCTTTCATCTCGATGGGTGTCCAATGTAGCCCCGGACCAGGGATAAAGGCAGAAGTGCTTCGAAGGGTGTGGGTGGACCGAGGTCCTGAGTCTCAGGGAGGGGGGCATACCCAGGCTGGGCAGGGGCACTCAAAGAAGGCGTGCACCCGGGAGCCTGATGCTACAAAGCATCAATCTGTGGCAAGCCTTGATTATTTTCAAAATAAAACGTTTAGGGGGACATTATCAAACAGTACAGAAAAGTTGAATGAATGGTACAACGAATTCCCGTATCCTCCAGCTGGACAGAACAATTAGCATTTTGCTATGTTTGCCTTATCTTTGTATACGTACTTTGAAAGTTGTAAACATCAAAACTCTTTATTCCAAATACTTCAACATGCATCCCTTAAGAATAAAAAGTCTCCAAACTACCACCGTCATCATCATCACAGTTAAGAAATTAACAACTTCCTAATACCATCTAATACCCAGTCATATTCAAATTTCCCCAACTGTCCTAAAACATATTTCCTAATTTTTTTCCCCAAATACAGTTCACACACTTTATTTAGTAATGGCTGTTTATTTTTTTCCCTCCACTTTTTATTTCAAAATGATAGACTCACAGGAACTTGCAAAGATAGTACCCTTAACCCAATTTCCCCCAATGTTTACATCTCACAAAATTATAATATCAAAATCAGGAAATCAACATTGGTACAGTGTGTATACTTCTTTATCATTTTTATCACAAGTGTAGATTTGAGTGACCACCACCACAATCAAGAAAAACAACTGTTCCCTCACTACAAAGGCCTCCCTGGTGACACCCAATCCTCTCCTCCTTCTTTCTCCCACCATCCCTAATTTATGGCAACTACTATTCTGTTTTTCATCCCTATTGTTTTGTCATTTGGAGAATGTTACATGAATGAAATCACGTATCAGTATGTGATCTTTAGAGACCGGTATTTTCACTCAGCACTAAGCCTCTTGAAATTCATCCCGGTTGTTGCAGCTATCAATAGGTCATTCCGTTTTACAGATATTATCAGTTTGTTTTAACCACTGATGAAGGATATTTGGGTTGCCTATAGGTTTTGACTATTACAAATAAAGCTGCTATGAACATTCATGTACAGGTTGTGTGAAAATAAAGTTTTCATTTCTCTGGGATAAATGTTCAGGAGTGCAATCACTGAGGCATATGGTAAGCGCATGTTTGGTTTTACAAGAAACTGCCAAACTATTTTCTTCAGTGGCTGTACCTCTGCATCCTTGCCAGAATTGGTGTTATCATTATTTTTTTATTTTACCTTTTCTGATAGGCACATTGTGGTATCTCATGATTTCAACTCGCACTTCCCTAATGGTTAATGATGTTAAACATCTTTTCACTTATTTGCCATCTATACTTTGGTAAATGTCTGTTCATGTCTTTTGCCCATTTTCTATTTTTTACTGTTGTTTTGAGTGTTCTTTATGTAGTCCATATACAAATCCTTTGTTGGATATGATTTGCAAATATTTCCCCCCAGTCTGTAACATCTTTTCATTCTCTTAAATGGGTCTTTTGCAGAGCAAATTATTTTAATTTTGATGAGGTCCAACTTATCTTTTATTTTTCCTTTTACGGAAAAAAATTTTGATACCAGCCAAGAGTTCTTCATTTAGTTCTAGGTCCTGATGAGTTTCCCCTGGCCACCCCATGGATACCCAATTGCTCCAGCAGCATTTCTTGGAAAGGCTGTCCCTCCCCCGTTGAATTGCATTTGCACCTGTCAAAAATCAACTGGACATTTGTGTGAGTCTATTTCTTTTTTTTTTTTTTTGTCTTTTTTCATGTCCAGCAACGGACCGCAACCCTCAGTGTCGTGCCCGTACCGGACCGGGACCGGCAACGGGATCGCAACCCTCGGTGCTGCGCCCGCCCCTCGCTCAGCCAGTGAGCGGGAACCGGTCTGTATGTGGGATCCGAACCCTTGGCGGGAGCGCCGCCGCGCTCTCAAGCGGCACACTGTAGCAGTGCGCCACCGGGCCGGCCATGTGTGAGTCTATTTCTGACTCTTAGTATCTTACGGCTCTTTAGTATCTTTCAAAAACCACCCTCATCCACTTTTTATACCTTTCATTATGGAAAATTTCATATATACACAAAAGCAGCAAACAGTATAATGAATTCTCAGTACACTCATCAGCTTCAACAATTATCACTCCCTTGTCTTTTTCATCATGACCTTGAAGAATACAAAGCAGTTTACTTACACAACATCCCACATTCTGGATGTTTTTTCTCACGGTTTCCTTTCTTGTTCTTCTGCTTCCTGTATTTCCCGTAAACTGGCAATTAGGTCTAAGAAGCCTGACTGAATTCAGATTAAACATTTTTTGTATTATATCACATGAGGAGGCACATTACATGAACTCAGTCTGAGCAATGTCACACTTTGTTACTTGGTTAAGAGGTAAATGCCAGCTTTCTACATTTGTTAAAGTACATACAAGCTACTTGCATGTTCATGGAAAAATTAAAAGGTAATACAAAGCTTTCCATGAACTTTCTGAAGGTCACTCATATGTTCCTTTGTAATTATTATGTA